TTTTCTGACGAAATTTATTGATTACATTTTCCTGTTCTTTGTTCTCTTATCGCAGCAGTTTTAGACAAAGAACACCTTCGACCTCGTAAAGAGGATTTAGCTGAGTGCGGTGATGCAATGACACAGGAAGTGACAGATCTTACTAGTGCAGCCAAAGGAAGTGCGTGTTGTGTTGTCTAATTCCTTAATGATATCCTAGAGCTATGTTAAATGCTGCAAGTAAATGTTTATCCAAGCAAATTAGAGGATTTATTCAAGGAATCGATACTGTAACGAGTGTAATCAAGAAGCAAGCTTAATATCTAGAGAAGTTGGTAACTCGCAACTGAGGAGAAGCCTATAGTAGTGGAGGGCGACTCAAAATCTAACACTGAGCCTAAATCCTCAGCATCGGTGACAACATCTCCGTCGTATGAAGATTCATTGGCCTCCAAGGTGAAATTTTGCTGATATGAATCTTCTAGAAAAGGAGACTTTTGAATTGATTTGTCTCTAATTTAGGCGGAAAAAAGCGCAGCGATTGTGTTTGGATGGATGAAATCTGTGGTAGACAGTGTCACTGATACTGCTAAGAGCTTAGCCGTGGAAGAAACTACTCAAGACAAAGAAGATATCACTCGACCACGAGTCATTCGCAAGACGAATCTCAGCCCGGTTAGTTCACTAAATCACTAGTCATGATCATTGCATACGTCTTCTTTCAACTTACTATTGTTTTTTTTTCTTCGCAGCTGGAAGCTTCTTTTATGTTTGATTTCTATAATTACACACCACCATTTTATCCAGAAAATCACATGGGAAATGGGCATCAGCCTGGGGCAAGAAATCTTATTTAGAGAGATTTAGGCTATGATGCGTTACTTCAATACGCGCGCGTCAAAATCATTTAATAAATTCTTGATGTCTTTCCTCTTTCCTCTGCATTCAGATAAATTTTATCTGAAGTGTTGCTCAGTTTCAGGCGAAGCTTTTGGAACTATAATCATCAGAGTCAACTTTCCGCAACGAGCCAGAGAACGTTGAAGCTTACGAAAAATGGGTTGCGCGATTTGTACTGGAGAATTATGCAGAAATAAATATGTTACTAGCCAATAACCCTTGAGGGAAATTTATGGGAAAATTGTGAGTATGCACAGTTTTTAATAACTTTATAGAATAGACTTTGTTTCATCTTTATAGGTACCAGTTGAAGTCGATGCTAAAATTTTTTGGTCTCTTTCTTTTTCGCTATTCAAATCGCTGAAATGGATGAAGAGTTGCAGCATTCCAACTTCAAGATTGCAAACTTTGCCATCTCTCTAAAGTTTTTTAAGGAACTAATAGTTCCGCTGATCATTTTGCATTATAGCGCCTTACCTCTGGGTCTTACATCAGTCTCGCATCTTTTCCACATGCTTTGGATATAAGGCTTAGCGCCACGTTTTCGACTTTTGCCGTTACTGCAAAGACAAATTACTGTGTTGTTTTGCCAACTTGTTATGCATGTTTCATCTAGAATCCTACAAAGGTTATTGTCTCTTGTTTAGGCAAATGTTCGACTTTGAAGTTATCTTATAATTCGCAGCAGGAGGCGCTGCTTTCACCAAATATGAGAACGCTTCTCCTTTGAACCAGCCAAGCATTCCATCCTTCCAATTTCGGGAATGGCTAGAGGTCTCTGGGAGGA